AGCCTGGGCAAACAGCCCAGCAACCCTATAGCAACGTCCTGGGCAAACACCTCAGAAAAGCCTAGCAACCCCATAGCAATGCCCCGGGCAAACAGCCCAGCAACCCCATACCAACGGCCTGGCAAACACCCCAGAAAAGCCCAGAAACCCCATAGCAACACCCGGGAAAACAACCCAGAAAAGCTCAGCAACCCCATAGCAACACCCTGGGCAAACACTTCAAAAAAGTCCAGCAACCCCATAGCAACACCCCGGTAAAACCCCCCAGAAAAGCCCAGTAACCCCATAGCAATGCCCTGGCAAACACACAGAACAGCGCAGCAACCCCATAGCAACACAGAAGGGTTTATATTAGGTTTATATTACATGTATTAAATGTATTAATGGAGTAATGGAATATAATTACAGTATTTTTTGTGATTAAGATATAGTGTTTGTGCATTTATACTAAATGTATTTAGACCAGTTTTTCATACAAATACCTAGAAACCCTATAGTTATATTTTTACCATGGTATTGAGGTTTTAACTGTGGTTATTCCATAGCAACACTCAGGCAAAGACCCACAGCAATGTACCGGCAAACATCTAGAATGCCTTAGCAATGCCGAGGCAAACTTCCCAGAAAAGCCCAGAAACCCCATAGCAATGCCCTGACAAACACCCAAGAAAAGCCCAGCAAACCCATAGCAACGCCTAGCAAACACAGAGAACAGCCCAGAAACCCCATAGCAATGCCCTGGGCAAACACTTCAGAAAAGCCCAGCAACCCCATAGCAACAGTCCAGGCAAACACCCCAGAAAAGCCCAGCAACCCCATAGCAACGCCCCAAGAAAACACTCCAGAAATACCCAGCAACACTATGGCAACGCCCCGGACAAACGCCTCAGAAAAGCCTAGCAACCCCATAGCAACAGCCTGGGCAAACAGCCCAGCAACCCTATAGCAACGTCCTGGGCAAACACCTCAGAAATTCGTGTCAAATTTTATTATATTTTAATGTAGACATGCTTTAATTGTATTAAAGGAGTAATGGAATATAATTACAATATTTTTTGTGATTAAGCTAGTGTTTATAAATTTATTTAGACTACTGTTTTTCATACAAATACCTAGAAACCCTATAGTTATATTTTTACCATGGTATTGAGGTTTTAACTGTGGTTATCATGATCTAAATGTATACTACTATGGAAGACCAATGGTTAATTTTAATGAAACTCATAATTAAATTTCACCATACTGTATAAAAATAAGGTTGTTACAATTTTTACAGATGTTACTGTTTTTGATAATGAACATAAATTTACATCTGCATCCAAACTCAAGCTACTACTACTATCAACTCAGGCTACTGTCGAATGTGCATTTCTAAGAGACAAAAAATGTACTGTTATTAATATTGAAGCCTGCACTGCAAACTGTGCTGAAGATACTCGTCATCAAAGTCAGGAACACAAACCTGCTTCAGGATTTAAAACAATATCACTCATTAGAACATGCAGAAACTAAGAAATTCATTTTTCTATTAAGATATTTATTTTGTTCTGACCATTAAGAGTAGTTTAAACCACAATTAACAGTCTGGTTTCTAAAACTTTCACTTAGTAGAAAAATCTGCTTTTAAACTTGAAAGAAAGAAATATTTGAAATGTATTTTGATAATTATCGATATTGACTGATATGAAAAAAAATTATTGTGATAATTTTTTTTTGCCATATCACCCAGCCATAAATATAACTATACATAACTATAACATAACTAAAAATGTGAAATAGTAAACATAACCATCTGGAATTTTATTGTGAAACTAGTAATAGTTTCATTCCTTATTACAGTGTTACCGAGAAACATATGACAGACTACTTTAGAATATTATGCACTTTCCACACGATTCCCTCACTAACTCTTCACTGAATAATAAGATATTGCCTTGTTTGTTCTCTTTCTCAGGCACATGTCTTGATTTAAATGTCAGTGAATTATTCATAACAACTATATGGCCTATTGTATTTGTATTTTCAACCAAACATTTTACACACCTCTACATGACGTGAGGGTCTTTATCTTACTTTCATTTTAAACAAAATGGTACAGTTTTTCTACCGGTCAATGATGATTCAGAAAGAAAATGCACCTGAAACCTGATGTTACTATAGTAAAGAACACAACTTTCATGCGCATCTGACTGAAAGATAAACAGCACGCACTTATTTAGCAGAAAGTTTGCTTTATAAAGTAGGTTCAACAGCATTAAGTTAAATAGCACAAATGTATCATTCAACTGAGCTGTGCACATTTGATTTAGACACTTACATTAAGCTCTTGCGCCATCTGCACGAGGGCACCCTCTAGCTTTGAGTTCTTGAATGAGCGGTGTTTTCTAGCATCTGGTAATGTCAATGATGTGACATGGCAAACACTTTAGCAACCCCATAGCAACGCCCTGGCAAACACCCCAGCAACCCCATAGCAACGTCCTTGCAAACACCCCAGCAACCGCATAGCAATGCCCTGGCAAACACACCAGCAACCCTATAGCAACGCTCTGGCAAACACCCCAGCAACCCCATAGCAACGCCCTGGCAAACACCCCAGCAACCCCGTAGCAACGTCCTGGCAAATACACCAGCAACCCTATAGCAACGCTCTGACAAACATCCCAGCAACCCCGTAGCAACGTCCTGGCAAACACCCCAGCAACCCCGTAGCAACGTCCTGGCAAACACCCCAGCAGCCCCATAGCAACGCTCTGACAAACATCCCAGCAACCCCGTCGCAACGCCCTGGCAAACACACCAGCAACCCCATAGCAACACCCTGCAAACACCCAGAACACCCCAACAACCCAATAGCAATGCTCTGGCAAACACCCCAGCAACCCCTAAACAACGCTCTGACAAACACCCCAGCAACCCCATAGCAACGCCCTGGCAAACACCCCAGCAACACCCTGCTACCACCCAGAACACCCCAGCAACCCCATAGCAACACCCTGCAACCACCCCAACCAGAACACCCCAGCAACCCCATAGCAACGTCCTGGCAAA